TCTCTCTCTGGTAGGCCCCCCCCTCCCTCTCTCTCTATTTCTTTCTCTCTCTCACACTCATAACAATAAATGGAACAAAACTCTCTCTCTCTCTCTCTCTCTCTCTCTCTCTCTCTTGTGTTAGCTCTTAGTCTCATTGATTTGGCTACCTTAGGGCTGCGTTCCCCGCGCCCACGCGGTAGACAATCAGTTTTTGAAGGGCCCTGTAGCCACTGGTGTTGATGTTTATGCTGAGGTAGCCTAAACCTTTTTTTTTTTTTTTCACCAGTCCCTCATCACGGTGATGAGGGGTGGGCAGGCATTGCCGATGGGGAAATCGGCGGTGCTAGTGCCGAGCAATGGCCAGTCACTGCACCTGCCCCTACCCCCCCCAACCCCACATGGCCGTGTCTAATGGCCAATACGGTCGCTGCATAGCAACCAACAACATCAGCCAGGACCTGGCTTGGGGGACCAACGGGTTATGTCTAGCTGGTAGAACACCAAGCTTGCCCAGGCAGGTACCTGAGGCTAGTGGGGAGTGAACCCACGACCTCCTGAATGCAACTTCTGTGCCTTACCAACTGAGGGCACGCTCACACTGGTACCAAAACCGTAAAACTCCCAAAAAAATGTGCACACCGCTGGTCACACACAATGGTTCTGACCCCAAAGACCCCATTCGCAAACCCATTTGTCAGCGGCCTGCCTGCCCGCGGGTTTGAGGAATTTGCAGTAACCTCCAGAGGTTACCGCAAAATCCTTATTCTTTTTTTATTTAATTTTTGTAAATGAATGCAAAGTTGAAAAGGGAACATGTACGTTCTATATTTGGGGTTACTTCTGTGTGACTGGAAACCCCAAACAGCAGCACCCTGATGGCACGATAGCGGCCGTGTCTTTAGCGAAGTGTGAACGCAGTGTGACCTGAAACGTCCCAAATACCGCAATTCGGCCCAATCCATTTTCGCAATTTATACGGATTTGCTACCGCAGTGTGAGCGTGCCCTGAGCTAGGCCCGAGGCGAGACCCTATGTTGGTACGGTGACCATCGCCCTCTTACGATAATTGAAATAATCGAAAACACGTGTTTGCTCTGATATATTATTTATAGGTTTGCATGTACAACGTGTATATGCATATCATAGGAGGCCTCACTCCACTGCTCGCCAAATGTGGAAACTGAGAACGAATCCTCCCGTAGAACATGGAAAGATGCACTGTTTTGTCCTTCATGCGTCAGGCGAGTAGTGGAGGGAGGCCCACGGTTATTAATTTAATGACACGGCCAATGCATGTCGAGTACGGGTGCATCGGCGGGAATGAGGGCATCATCACACATGGACTTTTCTAAATGTATCTGACTGCATTACGCCCAGATGCAGATGAAACTGACTGCCATTGCGTCCACAGCTTAGAGCGAAAGTTCCTGGTGTGAGTATGCCCTGAGCACTTCCAAAGGTCCTCCCGGCCGAACAGACAATTGACACATCGATCGCTGGCTTCTGGAAATCTGGAAAGTCGCGCGGTCGCCGGCCATTCGGCGTGCTACGGAACTGCGCTGCGTCGACTCCATTCCACTCCCCCCCAGTTCCCCAGTTCCCCAATTCCCCAATTCCTCAGACAATTTTTTCTCTGCACTTTCGCGGTCACTTTGCATCGATTGACCAGCAGAGCTCGGTACTCCCCGCCCAGGTGCTGCGAGGGGAAAGAGCGGGGTTGCGTCGGCTTCCGCGCTTTAAAAATTTCCGCTTTCAAATTCTATTCGACCGCGTTGGAGGAAGTAAGGCTCAGGGAACGTCCGACGAGAGAAAATCTCCGTCGTCGTGTGCGTGCATTTCTTGTGTTCGTCTCTTGTATCTGTTGTGTGTGTGAGTGTGTGTGTGTGTGTGTGTGTGTGTGAGAGAGAGAGAGAGAGAGAGAGAGAGAGAGAGAGAGAGATGGATTTGATGGATTTTGAGCAGGCGGCGTCTCACATGGCGCCGCCGGATCGAGGATTCGCGCCGCCGCAATCGTTCGTCGAGCGGGCGCACGTGAAGTCGCGGAAGCAATATGAAGCTCTACACAGCTATTCTCTTCGGAATCCGAAGGGCTTTTGGAGCGAGATGGCAACGCCATTTACATGGAAGAAGCCATGGACGGTAGGCAGGCCAGGCCACATCCCCGTTTCTCTTCAAACCCTTTCTCGTATGTTTGCATCCTTTCTCTTCTCGATTTTCTCCTCCCTTTGCTTTGTTACTTGGATTCTTTTCTGTTTTCTTTCTGTTTCTGTCTCCTTGTCTATCGATCTCTAACGTCCGTTTGTGCGTTCGTTTTCCTTTTTGTTTTCCTTTTTGTTTTCCTTTTTGTTTTGTTTTGTTTTGTTTTGTTTTAGTTTTTTCCTTCGCAAAAGAAAGTGTGGGCTTTGTGGCTGCATTGATCAGAAAATGTCCCGCCGGATGTCTAATTAGTAATTTCCTAAGTCAGCAGTTTTTCTGCACCTCCTCGATTTCTAGTTTTCTGATTTTGTCCAATCGTGTGCCTCGATTTCATCTGTGAGCACTGGAAGAGAACGAGGAAGAAGTTTATTTACTGTATTTATTTTTCTTCTCTTTGTACCTGAAACAGAAATTGCGAGAACCGACGTGTGTTTGCAGGCCTTTGGATCTTTCCCCTGGGTGGGATCGATATCCATCGTCAGGTCCGGTAATGTGTTGACGCCCAATTGAGGGCATCGCCACGCCACTCTCGAAATGTGCACACTGAGAATGAACTTCCGGCTAGAACATGACCAGATGCACCCGCCCAATTTTGTGGCGACGCCCAATTGAGGCTACAATGGGCCTAATCAAGATCGAACGAATAGAATGATGAATAGAATTACAGTCCCGTGGACCGGTCAGGATATAACGGTCTTCACCCTATAGCTTTTTTTTTTTTTTTTTTTTTTTTTTTTTCATCTCTCAGTCTATCAAGAGCGGTAATGATCGTGCATTCTGTTCGGGGGGAAAGGGTAGGAGCGGACGAGGTAGACCACATTCAGGATGCACCCAATGGTTGAGTTTTTTTTTTTTTTTTCCTTTTTTTTCTATTTTTTCCTCTTTTATTGATCCGCTTGACGATACTTCCTGGCCTATGGTGGGATTCTTTCCCTGTAACTAAGGCGCGAAACGTTCCCGGGGGAAACTCGGAGGACAAAAGTGTCAGTGCTGTCCTTCCTTCTCTTCGTCGTGGTAAATTTGCGCCTCTAGCTAAGGCGCAAAACGTTCTCAGGTGGGACTGTTCTTCGTGGTAAACTTGCCTTCTGTATGTTCCCAACTATGTGCGCTATACACATGCAACTAGGGTGAGGTGCTCGTTAGACGGATTTATGTTCGATCGTCGTTGGAAGTCAGCTGAATCTTTGATCGTCGATTCTTGATCAACGGACAGAATTGAACACAGCCGGCTAAGCGGCACTTCCTGGGGATTGTGCATCTCTTGCGTTTATCGTATTCGCATACTCCCCTAAAAAAAACAAAAGAGCCAAACCGATGGAAGAATATGTGTGTGGTCGGCCCGCACGCGCGCACTCGCGTGCTCATTGTGGCTTATCATTACCAATCCCCGTTTCCCGCGCGTGACAACTTGTGCATATGTTAACGTTAGATCTCGCGCGCGCGCGCGCGCGAGAGAGAGAGAGAGAGAGAGAGAGAGAGAGAGAGAGAGAGAGAGAGAGATGGAAGGTGGTGCGATGGGATTATGTGGGACCTGATTATAGTATACGAAGTATAGAGTATAAGGAATTTGGTGCTCTTTTTTGAAGAACATGAGTGAAAACATTCAGACGTTCCATTTTTCTACTCCGTGCAAGACCGAGCGTGGACTGGTCACTAAGCCGCTGATTGTATTGGGGGGAAATCAGGATGATTGGAGTTTCAGGCAATTTACAGTAATAATCGTTGAATTAGGCGATGATGATCAACCGAATTTTCCCACTTCTTGCAGGACCGAGCTTAGACTACAATGATGAGGGCGATGATTGTGAGAAGAAGAAGATGATGATGATGATGATGATGACGATGACGATGATGATGACGATGATGGTGGTGGTGTTAATTGTGATAGGATTTTGCTGATGACGATGACCGTTGGAACATTGATTAGTGTTGTTAGATGTGCTGGTATAATGTCATAAGGTGTGCTGAGGTCAGGACGAAATGAGATTTATGCCGATGAGGATAAATGACGAACACGGGGATTGCTGTGGTTATGATGATGATGATGATGATGATGATGATGTGTAAGATTGACTCTGCGGTGATGACGTGGATGGCAATCACTCTGGGATGATGACGTGATGACAATCACGCCGGGATGATGACGTGGAGGATAATCATTCTGATGATGACGTGGGTGACAATCACTCTGGGATGATGACGTGGATGCGAATCACTCTTAGCTGATGGCGTGGATGGGAATCACTCTGAGATGATGACGTGGATGGGAATGACTTTGAGATGCTGACGTTGGACGGGAATCACTGTGAGATCTGCTGCTGCTGCTGCTTCTGCTGCTTCCGATGATGATGATGATTAATGATCATGGTGGCGGTTTCGCAACAAGGACGGTAAAGATAATGAGGGCCGGGTGATGGCTGTACTTGTCTCCGCGGTGACGATGATTTGCAGATGGATTTGAATTTGTAGGACGAGATGGTTCCTTACGCTAGGACGGTAAAGATAGCCCGTGTTGATGATGCCGATAGCTGTGGTGATCTTCTGTACTTCCCTGTACAGTGACGAAGATGGCTATGGCGATCGTCTGTACTTTCCCTTCACACAGTGCTGTAGTTGGCTATGGCGATCGTCTGTCCTTCCCTTTGCGGTCATGAGAGTACGGCTATAATGCCCTTGAGTTGCCATTTGTCGGTGTAGAACCGCGAGGGTCCTTGGAAGCGAAGGCTTGTTATTTTTCTTCGTTCTTTTGTTTTTTTTTTGTTTTCGACAGTAGCCAGCCGTGTTTTTTTTTTCCCTTGCTTTTTTTATTATTATTATTATTATTTTTTACCTTGCTCTTTTTTCGCCCCCCTAGGGTGGTATCCCCTTCCTTGAGCTCGGATTTTTTTCTTACCTCATCTCCGGGGCAGCAGGGTATTTATCCGTCTGATTCCATCAGGATTCGAAGTCAGGATATTTTCATTAATAGCTACAGGTGTGTATCAATCCGTAAGACGGGCTGGGTATCATCCCGGTTTTTTTTTTTTTTTTTTTCCCCCTCTTCCTTTTTGTTGTTGTTGGGTTGTTTTATGAAAAATACTTGGCCCTACGGTAGCTTCGGCGTCTTGCTCGCCCGCCGGATCGTGGTCCGCAGACGAGCCGCAACAGGTGTCCTGCTGGCCCGGGGCAAGGGCCCACTAAGGCTGGGAAACGGGCCCAGGCTTTTCTGCATTTTTTCTTTTTATTATAGTGGGAATCGGACCCACTAAAGAGTGCGGGGGCAAGGTCCCACTTGCGCAAATCAGGAGATTTCGGCCGTTGATCTTTGCTATCTACGGTCAGTATCTCTTAATTCGTGCAAGTGGGACCTAGCCCGGGATGTGTTTGTGGAGCAGAGAGCCGCAACAGGTGTCCTGCTGGCCCGGGGCGAGGCCCACTAAGGCTGGGAAACGGGCCCAGGCTTTTCTGCATTTCCTTTTAGTATAGTGGGAATCGGGCCCACTAAAGAGTGCGGATGTGTTTGTGGAGAGGTGAAGGAAAAAAATCCCGATTGACCTGCTTTTCCTTTTTTATTATATTGCTGGGCAAAGAAGAGGGTCCAACCGACGCCAGGGGTATTTCACAAAATATTTTTTCTATCAGAGGGGCATACTGCTCTACCCACATCTTTTTTGTTTTTAATTAATCGTTAACTCCATCATATTGGTGGGGAGCTGCACCTGCTGGAAATCGGGTCCAGCGTCCCTTAGTACAACAGCTCAACATCACAGAGAGGTTCACCCGTACATGCGGAGACCTCTCAGCCCGTGCGGCTGCCAAAAACAGAGTTCAAAGATCTGGGTAATCAACGATAAATGGTCTTTGTTTTGATACAAAAGAAGATGACTATGTAGCCTCTACAGTGATCTGAGTGGAGGCCAGATGCCTCCCATTCCTCCTCCAGGTCTTCCAGTGGTAGGGGAGACTCCGTCGCCTCGTCCCATAGGTGCCTGGAGATTACCAGGTCACCTTGCTCCGAAAAGGATACCCATTTGAAAGGCGAATTCCATCTATCCAACATTTTACCTTTAGCCAAATCTGATACTTGGACTTTCCTCCATTCTGCCAAAATAAGGTTCCGGATGGCAAATTTAAAGTTATTCCCTTCTTTTCTTTTTTTTAAACTTATTCCTAATGACAGCTGGGCACCACACTTTGTAAAAGGTCTGTCCCTCGTAGCCAACCACATGATCCAAAAACCGAGAGCTCTGAACTTGTTTGCAATGATAGAAGCCTTATCCTGAATTTTGCTACCCATCATAATAAATTCCTTAGTCCAAACAATACTTGGACCATATGCAAAAAACCACATGCTACTGACCCAGTCCCCAAAACCCCTTGCCACAATGCGAACCCACCACAGGCGATTAAAATCTTCCAAGGCCTCGTGTGAGCATACATCACACTGTGGGGAGATCTCCATCCCTCTGCTTGTACACCATTCAGCTGTAGGCACACAGGAGTGTAAGTGCTGCCATTGGAGGCCTCCATAAGTTGAGATGTTGCAGGATCTCCACATTCAGACACTCACTTCAATCCTCTTTGCCAGTGGGATTTCTCCCTTACCCCCGCGCAGGTGACCATCAGCCGGTTTAGCTTATATGAGTCACCGAAATCAGTAACCATCTCTACTGTTACGTTCTTCAAGCTTCGACTTTTCCATTATAATTCAAAATCGTATTTGCATTACCCAGTCTGGCTTACTGGGCAAAACCCACAGGCAAAACCACAAGTACGTTTCCAGGCCATTTTTCTTCCCGGCCATTTTTCTCAGGACGCGGCAGCTCTGCATGCGCACCACGTCTGGCGGGATGCAGCTGGCGGCCATTGTGCGTGGAATCCTCCAGGCAGACTATGAAAAATTGGACCATTTCTCGATGCGTGTCTCATTCTTGGGTAGGGGCCACCATGCTAATCTTGTCTGC